ACCAGGTGTTCAGTAAGTTAGATCTCCCATGGAATTTTTTATAGGCATATAACCAATTTTCGGCCGTTTCAGGCTATACGTCCACTCTCATCAACAGTTTATTTCTATGTTCAACAAGACAACAACAGCAAAATCAGTAATCAATCGGTGCTCCTTGTTTGGAAGCCAGCTCCATGAGTCGATGAGGCATGCTTGCTGATAGGTTCTGGAGCACTGAGGCGTCAATGTTCTTCCACGCGTCGATGACTGCACATCTCAGCTCGTTGATGGTCTCAAACTGCCTACAGTTTTCATAAACCTTTCGAGCAATGATGCCCCAGAGGTTCTCCATAGGGTTGAGATCAGGGCTACACGCGGGCCACTCCATAACGTCAACTCTATGCTGCTGAAACCACTCCGATGTTGACCTGCTCGCGTGGACACTTGCAATTATCTGCTGGAAAATCGGTTTTCCTCTTCGCCAGCGACGGAGGAAAGGCAACAAGTTGGACTCAAGTACTTCCTGATATTCACGCGAGTCCATTCGGCAGGAGATGAATGCTAGTTCCAGCTTTCTGTCCCAGCAGTAGGCTCCCCAAACCATAAGAGAACCGCCACCGAAGTTACGTCGACTGAACCGCATAGGATCTTTCCTCAAATCACGCCAGTAACATCTAGCGCCGTCTGGCCCGTCCAGATTGAACTTCTTCTCGTCAGAAAAGATTACCTGAACACAAGTTCCTCTTTACTGGTTGCACTACAATAAAGAGATAGCGTTTCCTTTTATCACCACACCTGCTTCCAGTCCGTTGTGATGTTCTTCCTAGCAAAATCGAGACGAGCCGACTTGTGAGCGCAAGTAAGTCGTGGCGCCTTCTGCATAACTTCTCTCACTATGTTGCTGTTGCGTCTAATAGCCCTCCAGACTGTCGACTTCGAAGCAGAAAGCTTCAATTCCGCACGAATTTGGTTGACGCTCAACGTGCTGTTGGATGCCTTCTTCCTATATTTGCCGTTCTTCCCTGCGGACAGTTTTCGCTGGGTGTTTGTTAGCTCCGCCACTGCCGTAAGTCTCAGGATTTCTGAGGTAGGAGCAGACGACGCAGTGAGACCTGCCAATTTCCTTGGCAATCCGCCGATTGCTGAGTCCGGCCTGGTGTAGGGCCCGAATTTGGGCCTTTTCTTCCGAAGACAGACGAGAACCGCGTGGCATCACAGTGAGACATGCTCTCGTCTATTTTGATAAGAATATATCACCACGCTGAAACGGGAAAATTTTTGGAGCCGTATATCAAAGGTGGACGTATAGCGTGAAACGGTGGAAAATTTGTAAAACACCTGTAGAAATGTTTATGATGGACTTGTTTTTCTGGAATTATGCTTTTCCAGGTTTTTTCATACATAGAATCTGAAAACGTGCACAACGGAATTTGGATCACAGCTTGAGGACTTTTTTGAGTAAAATATGGGGTGGACGTATAGTGGTGAAACGCACTTATTATAGCAGGTAATGAAATCTAGAAATCATTTATAGAATAAACTGGTAATCAGTACTATATAAACTCACACAGGCATGTATTACTGCCGTCGAATTCATGGGAGTCAGCTCGGACCGGTGCACGTTCAAAATGGGGGAGGGGGGATTTTGCCGAATACAACCACCTCAGAACTACCCTCTCTGGTACGCCCCCCCCCCTCTCCATGGCCATACAACCCGCCATCTAACTCAGTCCTCCCTTCTAGCATTTTTGCAGCAGAAATTTTCCACTTTGCCTCCAAAAAGCTTCCATCGAGCGGACGAGTGATGGGCGGGTGGCATGGGTGCATGAGACACGTGACACGAAAAAAAATCTAGGAAAATGAACAACCGAAACATTTTTTCTTCAAAGAACTTCCGTCGAGTAGATGAGGGGGCGGGACGTACATAACACACGTTAATCGAGAAAAAAAAACAGAAAAAAAGTTAATAAGGGATTCTCAGAGCACGACCTGCCTGGGATGGGGCCCGTGAATTACCGTCGTCCAAACAATGTTAAAAATCTTGTGCAAACTTAATTATACTGTTCTTTACAGTTCATTATAGGGTCTTCATCACAAGCTTACGAAAAGGGAACTTCAGCACGTTTTCGGAGTTGAAGAAGTACATGAGGTGAGAAGAACGGTACACTAATCAATAATCCAGGAGTGTGCTCAAAAATAAGATTTTGCAGGTTCCAGAATATACACTTATTAAAACTGAAAAGTTTCGTAAAGAAGATGGAGGTCTTCGGATACGATTCTCAGCCTGGGGTGACGAGTATGTGCTGGACTTAAAACCAAATCATCGGCTCATCAGCCCACATATAGTAAGACCACGAGTTCAACTAATTACCATTTGCTTAACTGTAAATTAACATAGTAAACGGAGCACTCCTAATTCAGGTGGCGGTCACTAGAAATGGATCTGAAGTGATCGAGCGAAAAGGTCTTGACCTGGATCACAGCTGCCATTTCCAGGTCGGTATCGTCTATACTGAAAACCTCAAAATTCGTACCGCTTTTAAGACTTTTGTTATTTACATTTTGGCTTGGCTTACAAGTAAATGCAATGTTTATGCAACACATTACTGTTTAAGGGCACTGTTTCGTCACATAGTCGGGTACCAGTAGCCATCTCTGATTGTCGATCTCTTATGGGTACCTTAATTATGGACGATCACTTCCTTATCCTTCAATCAGTACCGCAACGAGTTCGACACCACGATGTGAGTCCTAAACAGTTCATCAATTCAGCCAGAGTGTTGTTCCAACCACAGTTTTCCACGAGCTTTCACTGCTGAATGTTTGTTCTTCTTAAAATCTGGGCGAGGTAAAGGGGGGAGGGCTCAGGGCTTCATTAACTTTTACATTTGTCCCTCATACTTTTGTTACAGTGGAATACTCATTCATCTTGACGTATCCAGCAGTTCGCCAACTTCGAAGTCTAAAGACATTTCTAAAAGTTGTAATTGAAATCAAAATGGATTGAGATTTATTTATTCCGCTTCATCTAGCAGCCCATTAATTTCCGCTTCATCTAGCAGCCTTGCTTGATTGAATGCAGCTCCACCGCCGATTGTCAAGCGGTGTAAGGGATAGCGTGATATTTCATCTGAGTACTACCTAGGGTACAGCATCGTTGGGAGAATTTCATTGGGGAAAGGTCGTACTTGTCGCTCGGGGAAGGTTGCATTTATCTTTGGGAAAACTTTCTCAGCAGCAAGAAAATTTTCCGATTGTTGATACTTCTTTGTCTCTTTTCCGTCTATGCCCGTTCTCTGTCTCGCACTACAGAACTAAATGCTATGCATTGACTATTTTTCGAAATAAAGTAGGAAATAGTAGTGAGACTTAAAGTGAGACTACCAATCAACTTTAAGTAAGAAATAGCAGTTGTTTGGTAACGACCTTTCCGACCCGCTCGACGGCAGTTCTTCGAAAAACTGGGAAACTGAAGTAGTTGGGGAAGAAGGGTCATACTAACGGTCTTACTGACCCCGCCATACCACAAATGCTGTAACCCGGTCCTACTCATACGCGAGCTCAGTCTTTCGATTTTCCATGATCGACTTTCTTATAATCTTGGCCTTACAAAACCGAAACCTGAGCCGAGTGAACTTGTAACAACCTTGAAAAGCTCAATAACTGCTATTTGTGATAAAGCACGATTTTGTCGAAACATCAGGCCAAGCAAATCTTCCGCCCCGACAGTCCTGTAAGGTACAGAAGCAAGTTTTCGATGCCACCACGTCGCTTTCCCCAATGCAGACGTAGCCATTAACTCTTCCACAGGAGCAGTAAAGCTGCGGTCATACTTTGCGGCAGAGTCCACCAGCGACCATCAGCGTTCTCCAGCGTCCGGCAGCGTCAGCGACTAGGAAAGTATAGATATCGATCTAGCGTCCACTCGTCTGCCAGCATCCACCAGCCGGACACTGCCGGACGCTCGGAACGCTGGTGGACGCTGCCGCGAAGTATGAACGCAGTCTAAGGAACATTGCAAAAAGTTCGGCCTGAAAAAGGATTGCTCGTGTGAGCACTTTGTGACGGCCTTCAACCGATCAGAGGCTTATGCCAGCTACCATTCCGTGATAAAAAAATAGGTGATTGTCAAAATGGTTTCGATCGTCAACCCTCCAAAGCTCAAGAGCAGGAAAAATTTAATCAAGTGTGAAGTGTGGCTCATCGTCCGAATAGGCTTCAAAACGGGTCGCTATGATGTGACCAAATCGCCACTAGCTATCATGGAGTATAAACACTGCTTACCGCCTCCAAGCACTGCATCGCGACAGTGTCACTTCGTCGCTTGCTCTAATAG